GGCTTAGCTTTTATGAGTGTATTGATCTATATGCTCATTACAATAGCATCGATTACGGATATGACTCTTTTATTACCAGACAGCCTAGTTACCCTGCCTATTATTAACATAGAAATTGGCTTAAAAGCCTTCTTCATTGCTGCGCCAATACTGGTCCTGGGTCTGCACCTCAATATGTTACTGAATCTATATAGACATAACGCCAAAGTGCAACACTGGCTCAATTATCAAAAAGATAGAGTCCACACCAGAGAAGAATTGCATCCCTTTATTTTTAACAATCTTTTCTTCCCTGATTCCAAAGGCTACCGAACAAGCGCAGTTTTAGTGGGTTTCGGAGCCTGTTATTTACCATTAATGGTTATGTTACTCTTTCAACTCCGCTTCTCCGATTTTCAGAGCTTCACAATAACGTTCATTCACTTTCTCTTGCTCATCTCCACGTATGGCATTATTCTAAGCTTATACCGGCCCGTTAATCATTTGTTTTATGCTACTACACGCAGAATAAAGAGTCTGCTTTTCTATTTTATTACAGGTTTGGCAATACTATATGGTTTTTCAAATATTTTAATTCTGTGCAGGGTGCTGAATTCGGATTATTCAAGAAGCTTATCATTATTTATGAATTGCCCCTCGTATGTGCGAAATACAGATTATCCAACCTGGTTATTCAACCAGGTTTGGTATAAGCCCAAATTGGATGTTAGCGAAGCCTCTATTAATAAGGAAATTGATGCCGCTTACATCCTTCATTATATCAATAAAGAAAATTTGAGCGAAGAACGGGCCAGAAAAAAGGCTATTAATAAACTGGGCAAAACTATTTACCTCACAGGCCGAAGTTTGCGCTACGCTAATTTTGAGAAAACTGATTTCTCCGGGGTTGATTTGAGTCAGAGTAATTTATTGGGTGCTAAACTACAAAATTCTAATTTTCAAAAAGTTAATCTTCGGGATATCAAACTGCACGGGGCTGATTTACGTCATGCTAAATTGCAAGGGAGCGATCTAAGTAATAGCGAATTGCAAGGTATAGACGCAGGCCATGCAAAAATGGGTGGCGCTGTAATGCGTAACATCAATCTTCAGGGAGCTAACCTGATACATGCTAATATGGATGGTTGTGACCTCAGCGGTGCAAAAATGCAGTGTAGCGATCTGCAAAATGCGAGCATAAAAGGTTGTAAATTATCATTTTCTGATATGCAGGGAGTTAACTTAACTAAGGCTAACATGTCCGGAGCTATTTTATCAAGTATAAAGATGCAAGGGGCTACACTAACAGACGTGAATACAAGCGGAGCTTTATTTGGGAGATTCTATAAGATGTACGATCAGTCAGACACCATATACCTTTACGGTGCAAAGGGTAGAATATTTGGTGCTTATTTATTAGATACAAACGCCATTGATACTTCCACTACCTATGATATTGATGTATTACTTTCTGAAGTTCTACCGTTTTTGAAGAAGCCAGGTTCTTACTTCGATCATTACTTTCAATTGGCTAAGGAAAATCTTAAATCAAATACTCAGGTTAAGATTTACCATAACATGAAAATATTCTTGAAATCAAGAAAGTATTTACTATCAAATAAATCCATCCCTTTGTCACGTCTGTTTTTTACAAAAAATCAAGTTTTGTCTAAATACGGATACCCCCTAGTTAACCCTGAATGGAAAAAATTTGCCAACCTGAACGACAGTCTATACCAACATCTCAAAAACCATGTGCCCCAGCGCCTTGAAGAATTCCGGGAAGACAGTGCTCACTTTATTTTTTCAACTACTCAGTTTTAAATGGAAAACCTCAGCCTAAACCGGGGTTCTCACTTCTAACCCCAAAATCAAATAATACTCTTTAACACACTCACGTGACTTTAGGAGTCTTTCAAAGATTAGTTCTCTTCAGTGTTATCATTGGATCGGCTAGATTTTTTATATAGACTATAGGTAATGCCCAATTGTACATTCAGAACATAAGGCAACGGATCTTCCCAATCGTCTGGGTAAAAAATCATTGATCCGGCAGTCAGCTCAATCCCGAAGGGTAGGCCAGCTGTTTTACCGTAACGAAGTCCCGTGTACAGTCCTGGACCGATATGGTGTTTTAAATTCTCACTCACACCTCTTGAGTGCGCATACTGTATGAACGTAATAAGATAATTGAAAGACCCACCAACCAGAATCTGAAACTTATCCTTAATAGGTGTAATGCGTTGCCAGGCGCACTGAATATTGCGTGTGGAAATATCGACTTCACTTTTAAACCAATCGGAATAGCCCTGAAGATTTGAATGCCCATAGGACAGCATAATTTCACTGTACGGAGTAATACTATCAAAAACCAAATAGGCCTCAATTGTATTACCCGTGGCGGAGGGTATCTGGCTGGTACTATACTTAGTGTATCCTCCACGAACTCCCAAAGATTGACCGGACAAAATATAATTACTGCTAACCAGTAGGAGGCTAACGAGCAAAAGTTTCATATCGTTAAGATTAATTAGACCTGATAACGGAATAATCTCCCCTCAAAGTGCACATCCCTATAACGAAAAAACCCAAATCTAAGCCGGGGTTTCTCTTTCCAAACAACCCACACCATTTTGTTTAATTACGCTAAAACCAATAATCCGCTTCCTTAAAATTTCTATGTTTGCTTCGTTCCTTAAAGAAAGGACAAAGCAATCCAAACAAAAAACCAAACCCATGAAATTCCTGCCCCTGCTGGTGGTCCTTGGTGGCCTGTGCTGCATGACAGCCTGTACTTCCAATGAAGAACCCCTTCTCTCTACCGATAACGTAGTACGCTACCCACTCAAGGTTCAAAACACTATTATGAACAGTGAAAATGTGGAGCATACCTATTTCATCTTTATGGCTAAAACCATGAATAAAGCAGCCGAAATGGGGGGACTTACTTTTACGTATGATTCCACTTTAAATGCACAAGTAGGAACCCTTGTTCCGCTTACTTCCGGCTCTACCGCCAGCAACTTTATGTTTCAACTGGACACCATGAAAGGCTACGATACCACGCATCACAGCATCCAGCTTATGATACCGCATTGCCAGAGCGGCCGGGCCATGTTCTCGGTAAATTATCCGCTTAGTATTGGCGTTCATCAGGATTCTTCCACCGGTGATTTTAGCTTTATTCCACCTAACGTCAATGATACCACAGACCCGAGCTACAATATTATTTTTGACAAGTTTGAATTTACCTTTAACAACACCGTAACCACCGGTGTTCCGGATGGCACCTTTTACATCAATCCTACCTCGGTTGACTTTTTTGGTATACCGGTACATCTGGGATCCAGCGCAAAAAACTCAGGCGCCCCTGCTGGTATGAAACGCCCTCAGATGCTGGACACCATTACCAAGGTGATTACGAAATACGATAGCACGGCCACCCAACAATGGAAATCAGTGGTTATTCGTGACCAAAGCACTCAAACCATTTTGCGTATTGCCTCTCCTACCCTTGCTCCCCGCTTTGATGCTCAGTACCTGAACAAGCCTGCACCAAACTTCAATTACATAGATGCCCTCATCTCGTATTATAAAGCGAACAGCCTTTGGGTGGATTGCCGGCAGTTAGATGTGGCAGGCGACCAGATCTTTGACAAATACAACCGAATGCCTGATGCCGATACGGGAGCTTATTATTTTAAAGGCACCATTGGTACTGATAATGTATGGCGTTTTAAAAACTCACCTGACACCTCCTTTGCTAAAGACACGGCTATTGAAGTAAGTATTGATATGGGAGCCGTTACCTCCAATGACTTTTTCGGACCCGGAACGGCTCCTTTTGATACGCCCAACAAAATGGTGAAAAGCATATTGGTAGAAAGCATTACTTCTGCCTTTTCAGTGGGTTTATTGCCCGCCCCGGATGGCGATACTCTTAGTAAAGCTTATTTTAAAAAGCATCAGAGCTCGTATTATACTCCTGACAGTTTAAACCCTTCAACTGCCACCGGTAAAGGGCCTTGGTATGATCTCTACGCTAAATCCATCCACGCCACCGGTGCCGTTATCTATGCCTTTGCGTATGATGATGTATTGGCCCAGGATGGTACTATTGCCAGTTCAGACCTTTCCGATACCATTACCGTAACCATTGGTGATATTGGCGATGTAGCTATTCCCAATCCCGCAGATGCCTACACCGTTAAAGGTGTGCAGATAGACTCTATTCAAGCCTTTAGCTGTGTAGACTCGGTATGTACCGCTAAAGTGTATTGGACGGTTCCTGTGCATCAGTCATCCAAAGCAAATTATTTTATTATGCTGAGCCAGGGTACTTATTCTATTCCTTCGGATACCTTAGCTAAAATGCAGGCTGGCAATCTTGTTCCTTATGATCAAAGCTCAGGCACCATCACCCTCCATCAAAAATGGCTGGGAAACAACCTTAATGATGTCAACTTCCAGGTGTTTACCTGCGGTGCTAAGGGTTGTGACTGCCCTACTCCTGCTAATTTTTCCAACTGGAGTTGTGCCATGGGCTCTCATGCTTACCCCGTACTTCCTTCTGTTAAACCTATACTTCCGGTAACAATAATCAGCTTAACTCCCTTTGCCAAAAGCGGGGATGATTATACACTTTCGGTAAACTGGACGGTGCCGGCCGGACAATCACCCTCCGCCAAATATTACCTGATGCTGATCGGGAATGGTAAGGATGGTGGTTTCTCCATTCCTGCCGACAGTATTGTGGCTAAACAACTAGGGCATTTTGCTACCGCCAAAGAGACTTCTTTGAGCTTAACACTCAATAAGAAATGGTTGCAATCCAAACCTGAAAAGATAGGTGTACAGGTATTTACGTGTGGCTCCGTGGGCTGTCCATGCCCTACCGCCACTGATTTTAAAAGCACTACTTGTGCTCCCGGTTCTTTACCAAACATCCCGGATTAACTTACTGCGTTCTTCACAAAAAACCCGGCTCAAGGCCGGGTTTTTTAGTTGATGACAGATCCGGACTAATCCTTTTCCCACCAGCCTTTACTATTGATGTTGTCACCGCCAATACGATTGACGGCTGTTTGATAATTCTCTGCATTGGTAGCCTGCTCCGATTCCGGATAGAGGTAACGCACGGGATAACGATCTTCATTGAAGTTGTCCGGACCGGGTTTCAAGTAAGGCATACCCGTTCTGCGCACGTTAAACCAAGCCTCATGGCCGTTGTTGAACAGCGCCAGCCACTTTTGCGTGAGGATGCGGTTCAGGTTATCGGTACCGTCCAAAGCAACCGCAGCACGGGTAAAATAGTCCGCGGGACGTTGGGCGTTGTAATAATCAAAGCTGGCCTGTACCCCATTCTCATAATAGGTAACGGCACTACCACCTATATAACCGCGTTCTGCGGCTTCTGCCAAAGCGAATTGCAACTCCGAGTACTGCATGAACTGCGCATCTACCCCAGCCGGCTCATCGCGAAATATAGAACCATAAAGGGAGATATCATTCAGGTCAATACTATTACCATCAATTGTCTCCCGGCTCTGACCGTTCTGCAAACCGTTGTATTCTACCCCAGGAATAGTATCGTTGACCGAGTTATTGCTGGGTTTATACAATATCATTACACGGGGATCATCCCATAGTTTCAGGACAGAATCTATAGTAGCGGTCATCCGGTGCTCCTGGTAACCACCCTGAGATGCGTTATAGAGCGGAAACTGGTTAGGTGATGCACTCAGGTAAGGCACTACGGCATTATCACCATTGCCTTGCATGAGCTGGCCGGAATTGGCCAGATCCTGTAATCGGGTTTGCAATTGCGGGTAATCACCAAAGCGCTTGCTCATACGCATCAGGTAACGCACCTGTAATGAGTTTGCAAAGCGTACCCATTTACTCAGGTTGTTTCCAAACATTACATCGCCATTAATAGCAAAGTTGGTATTCTCTAAAGTAGCAGCAGCTCCTTCCAACACCGCCAACAGCCCGGTTTCCGAATCGGTATAAATACGCTCCTGTGTGTCATACACCGGAGTATAGTTGTTTTCACCGGCCTGCAATGCCTCGGTATAGGGTACGTCATACCACATATCGGTAAGCTGTGAAAAGAGATAGCACCGCATAATATCACCCACCGCTTCATAGGCTTCATTACTGGCCTCCGCGTTCTTCATGGATTCAATGTCTGTAAGCAAACTGAAAATAGTATTCCAGTAATCACTGTTGGAACCCATCTCATAACGGTCAATACGCTCAAACTCTACACTGGCTGAATGTTGTACCAGGTAGCTGGCCAGTAAAAATCCCTGGTCATACGTATTCTGCTCTGCCGCAGCTGTAATGATGTTGGTGAGTAAAAATTCCGGAGCAATATTCTCAGGTGCGTTGGGGTTCTCGTTTATTTTATCAAAATCCTTGGTACACGCCAGATTAAGTAAGCTAAAGGCGGTAAGGCTTAAAAGTATCTTTCTCATCGTTTGTGATCTTAAAATTGAGTTTTCAAACTGATTCCATAACTGCGGGCTGAGGGATAGCTCACATCTTCTACTCCGTAGGTAATATTGGTTCCCTGCAAGGCGTTCAGTTCCGGGTCAAAATGTGGGTTCTCCGTCCACAGGAACAGGTTGCTTCCCACCAGCCCCACACTGATCTTTTCGAAGCCAATACGTTTACATAAGGCTGTTGAGAAATCATAGTATACACTCAGCTGACGCAATTTTATATACGAGGCATCATAAAGAGCACTGGCTTCATTTCCCCTATCGTAAAAGGCATTGTAATACTGACTGGCAGACACTTTTGTGGTATTGGCCACGTAAACCGGGTTCTCTTCGGTACCGGGCTGGATCATCACTCCCTCTCCTACTATACCGCTCTCCCGGCCCTCAAGGGTTTCCGCCAATACTCCGGAGGTACTGGCTATGGCTTTGGTACGCGAGACAATGGTTCCTCCATAGCGCCAGTCAAAGAGTACGGAAAGCGTAAAGTTCTTATAACGGAACTCATTGCCAAAACCCATACTGAAATCAGGATTGTAGTTACCAAGGTTTCGCAGGGCAGCATCCTGCACCGGCAATCCGTTTGAGCCATACAGTATTTCACCGTCCACTTCAACAAAGCCGGTTCCGTACATATCACCAACCCTTCCGCCTTCACGGGCAATGTAAAATACGGTATTGGAACCACCGCCTCCACCAAAAATATTGGCTACACCGGTTACATACTGATCTACCCCTTCCGGTAATTTGGTTACCACACTCCGGTAACGGGAGTAATTTACAGAGGTGGTCCATTTGAAGTTTTCACCGTTCAGTATACGCAGGCTGGCCAAGGCTTCAAAGCCACGGGTACGCACTTCTCCACCGTTTTCAATAACATTGGTAAAACCACTGGCAGATGATACCGGACGACCAATGATCTGATTGATACTGGTGTTCTGGTATACAGATGCATCCACTTGCAAGCGGTTCTTAAAAAGCCATACTTCTGCCCCTGCCTCGTAAGCATTAAGCCTTTCAGGCTGCAGGTTTGCGTTTTTGAGTACGGACTCATTGGTTACCCTGAAACTTGAACCGTAGTTCTGGTTAAACTGAAAGGTGTTTTTCAGTTGGTAAGGGTCCGTATCATTACCTACACTGGCCGCACTCAGGCGCAGCTTGGCGTATGAAACAAGCTCAGGAAGGGCAATGCTATTGGAAATAACATAGCTTAAACCAGCTGAATAATAAGCGAAAGAATTATTGTCCTCCGGCAGTGTACTGCTCCAGTCGTTACGCAGGTTCAGATCCAGGTACAACCAGTTACGATAGCCAATATTACCAATGGCATATACACTGTTTATGCGTCTTTCAAACAATTCACTTTTTCCTTCCAGCGGAGCACGTGAATTGGCCAGGGAATAGATTCCCGGTACGGCCAGTTGATTGGCAGAACTGTACTGATATTCTATCTTTTGGTCAAAGCGATTACCTCCTAAAGACACCGAATACTTGATATTACTGTTGATACGATCTTTGTAGCTCAGCAATACATCGGTATTCATTTCCATAAAATCTACATTATCCTCACGGTAGCTGCCAAAGGGATTACGGTTGGTACTGTAAGCTCTGCGAAACTCACGCGCATCATCATAAATATCAACACCGGTACGCACTCTCAGGCTCAGCTTGTCCGTAAAATCATAGGTAACCGCTCCATTACCTAATATCCGGTTTTTGTTAAAGCTGTTGGTGTTTTCAAACAGCGTCAGATAGGGGTTGGTAAGCCACAGGTAATTGATATCAAAATGTTGTACACCTTCCTGTCCGGCCTGCCAGTAATTACGCATAGCAGAAATATCTGCCTGACGGCCGGTCCAGATGAAACCATACATCACATTCTCATAACCATAGCCCAGGTTAGGGCGGTTATTACTGCGGGAGTTGATGTAATTTACAAAGGCATTTACCCGCAGGCGGTTACTCAGTTGCTGATCAATACTGATGGAAAGCCCATCGCGTTTCATATCCGTATTGGGAAGTATACCTTCATTGCGGAAATTGCTATACGAAAAACGCAAGGCGGTGTTTTCAGAAGAAGAACTGATGGCAATATTATGTTGTGAGCTTACACCGGTTTCATAGAAATTGCGCACATTATCGGGACGCGATATAAAGGGTGTTGATTCAATAGGTGTATACGATCCGTCCGGTAAAGTACGGGCAATCACATCACCACCCCGTACCGGGTTTCCGTTGGCGTCTACTGAGGGACTATCAAACTGCGGAGCTTCATAACCATCGTCCAGTTTCACACCAAAACTGGCAATGCCACCATCGGAAATACCAGCACCTGCACCATTCTGGAAGGCATAGCCATTGGCCCCGCCATTGCCATATTCATTCTGGTAATCCGGCAGGGTGAGTAAGCTTTCAAAAGTCAGCAAGCTACTGGTGGAGATACCAAAGCCAGGTTTTTTCTGCCCCCGCTTGGTGGTGATCACCACTACTCCATTGGCCGCCCGTGAGCCGTATAAAGCGGCTGAACCCGGCCCCTTCAGTATAGTCATAGAAGCAATGTCATCCGGATTAATCTCGGATGCTCCATTACCAAAATCTACTTCCTGACCGGCTCCGTTATTGGTAAGATCACTGGCAATAAGCTCATTGCTTACCGGCACACCATCTACTACAAAAAGAGG